ATTGTATATCGTTGAGAAATGTGGAGAAAAGGAAAGATGACATATTTTCACCTTGCCTGACTCCATTTTCACACCTGAAGAAATCTGACGTTTCTCCATTATTTACTATTCTTGACTTTATCTCACTGTACATATTGACTATAATTCTATGCATGTTTCCATTGATGTTATTAGCTAATAATTTGTGCCATAGTGCCTCACGCCAAACAGTATCAAAGGCCTTTTCAAAGTCAATAAAGGCACAATATATGTTCTTCCGTTTTTGACTTTTGATTAGTTCAAATAGCAAATGTACGGTGAAGATATTGACAAGACCTCCGTAAGCTCTTCTATATCCCCAGCGTAACACTGAAATAAACCCAAATCTAAATATATGCAAACATTAACGATAATCTAGATTTTTTCTTTCTTCAAGATATAACATACAACATACAATCAAATATTGCCATGTAATATACATATATCAAATATCACCATATAATGCACATGTAACAAAATATAGCCATGCGCCATCCATATATCAATCTAAACATGAAACATGCATACATGTATCAATCTCGCCATGCGTCATACATGTATTAATCTCGCCATGCGTCAAACATGTATAAACCTTGCCATGCGTCATGCATGTATTAATCTCGCCATGCCGCAAACATGTATCAATCTCGCCATGAGTCATACATGTATTAATCTCGTCATGCGCATGTATCAATATCGCCATGCGGCAAACATGAATCAATCTCGCCATGCGGCAAACATGAATCAATCTCGCCATGCGGCAAACATGTAACAATCTCGCCATGCGGCAAGCATGTATTAATCTCGCCATGCCGCAAACATGTATCAATCTCGTCATGCGGCAAACATGTATCAATATCGCCATGCGTCATACATGTACTAATCTCGCCATGCGGCAAACATGTAACAATCTCGCCATGCGGCAAGCATGTATTAATCTCGCCATGCCGCAAACATGTATCAATCTCACCATGCGGCAAACATGTATTAATCTCGCCATGCCGCAAACATGTATCAATCTCGCCAACCGGCAAACATGTATCAATCTCGCCATCCGGCAAACATGTATCAATCTTGCCATGCGTCATACATGTATTGTATCAATCTCGCCATGCTGCAAACATGTATCAATCTCGTCATGCGTCATGCATGTATTAATCTCGCCATGCCGCAAACATGTATCAATCTCACCATGCGGCAAACATGTATTAATCTCGCCATGCGGCAAACATGCATTAATCCCGCCTTGCGGCAAACATGTATCAATATCGCCATGCGTCATACATGTACTAATCTCGCCATGCGGCAAACATGCATTAATCCCGCATTGCGGCAAACATGTATCAATCTCGTCATGCGTCATGCATGTATTAATCTCGTCATGCGGCAAACATGTATCAATCTCGCCATCCGGCAAACATGTATCAATCTCGCCAACCGGCAAACATGTATCAATCTTGCCATGCGTCATACATGTATGAATCTCGCCATGCGGCAAACATGTATCAATCTCGTCATGCGTCATGCATGTATTAATCTCGTCATGCGCATGTATCAATATCGCCATGCGTCATACATGTATCAATCTCGCCACGCGTCATACATGTATTAATATCGCCATGCGGCAAACATGCATTAATCCCGCCTTGCGGCAAACATGTATCAATCTCGTCATGCGTCATGCATGTATTAATCTCGCCATGCCGCAAACATGTATCAATCTCGTCATGCGTCATGCATGTATTAATCTCGTCATGCGGCAAACATGTATCAATCTTGCCATGCGTCATACATGTATGAATCTCGCCATGCGGCAAACATGCATTAATCCCGCCTTGCGGCAAACATGTATCAATTTCGCCATGCGTCATACATGTATCAATCTCGCCAT